TCCAAAATTCTATTTTGCAGCAGTTAACACTATATGTGCCAATAGTGCGTAAACTGTATGTTTTGTAACTATCAATAGATACAATTGCCAACACCGATCTTTTTCATTCTCCTAGAACAAGGTTAATTTGTAACTCGCTTCCTGAAGAATTCATCAAATTGGTATTTGAAAGTGACACAATCTAATTTGGCATTTACTTATTAGAGTTTTGAAATCATTTTTATTTTTATTAAAGTTGAAATTACGTTGAGCGAGTGATGCATGTATCGATGAGTTAAAAAAAATCGACGATGATGTGTAGGACACGGTAGCTCAAGTGGTTAGAGAAACAGGACGGAACGCTGTGGAGTCCGTTTCGAGCCCTACCCGTGGCGTATTCTTTTTTTCAATCTAGAATCGATTCCTATTTATATGTAGTGCCATCATGAGCAATAACATGTAATACGTATTAAAGTTTTCACATATCTAAATTGTTCTGTGTCACGCAACAAATTTTTATATATACAAGCCCGTCCCCGTGACCACGACTGCAAAGCAACCGAAATCACGGGCCGTAGTTTATATAAGTAATTCGTAGATAAATTTAACTAACATATTTCGCGTTTAAAACCGTTATAGTGTTTTATTTAAATTTTCAAGCCTCAATAGCTAAAGTTAGACAAGCTTATTACATCACACTTTAAACGTCGCGCCCCAATTTCAATTGAAATATTAATTAACTCGAACCGTTCACACTAAAAGGCTGTCGCAGCGTCGGTTTGAAGCCCTTCGGCTAGACAAGGCTAAAAATAGAAGAAAAAGTTCCGACGAGAACCGGTTGCCTACCTCTGACTTGCTAATGCGGAATAGCTATTTAGGACGTTGCCCGGAGTTAAAGTATTCACGATTCGATATTCGTTGTTCGCTCCAGCTATTTTTGCTCTCGATACATTGCAGATGTGGTGTCTTTCAATCGTGCAATTAATTACAAGCATTCCCAACATAGTAATCGCCGAATCGTGGGTTCGATTACCAGTTACAAAATAGGTCTAAAATCGAATTATATTATTTCTGAAACATCGTTTGGAAAATGGGTAGTAGTAATATCGAAATTTCGTCCAAGTCATGAACCAGATGGGAAAGCCGAAAAGTGTTATCCATTTTCGTTTCGACTCTTTAGATTTCTTATAGCGGAAATAAAAACTAATATATCGCGTTTTAAACCGTTAAAGTGTTTTATTTAAAATTCGTTATTTAAGCAAACAACATACGGTAAAATTTTATAGAGTTACGAATGTCTAAAGCATTATGAATGTATAGCTGGGTTACTTTACCTCCAATCAATCTAGTAAAACTTTTGCTTATTTCAAAGTAGGACCGCATGAGGCTTACTTCAATAGAACCTGATTCTACCCCAGTCATATAACATCTAAACAAGATGCCCAGTCCACTTATTTTTATTTAGGCTAAGAAATCTAAAGAGTCAAACGGTTTAAAACGCGATATATTAGTTAAACTTATTTGAACATTTTTAACTTCGGCCCGACGTTTCGGATGCTTTGCAGAAGCCGTGGTCACGGGGAGACTGCTGCTGCAAAGCTTCCGAAACGTCGGGCCGAAGTCAAAAATCATTATCAAATAAGTTTAAGTAATATATCGCGTTTTAAAGTGTTTCATTTAAATGTGCACTACTCGCGTAAACCATAGACAGTATTTAACGAAATTTAGTAAAATTAAGTCGAAAAACAATGTAACTATGCCTAGCAGTTATAATTACTTATGTTAAACACGAGTAACATCGCGGGGCGTAGTCCAATATGACAAGAGGGTAAATTGCCCCCCACCGTTTGACTTATTGCCAATTAACGTCGCGCATAACTGTATGTCTATTGCATACATCGTAAAACGGCTAGCCTTCTTTTATGGCTCAGCTTGTTCAGCTAAACCGTGTATTTGTACTCATATTTACTCGGCTAAATTTCTGTTTCCACAGTATATGGACTTGGTGGTAGACGTACGCTTTATAAATGTCAAGCTCCATGCATATAACATCTCACAAGTTGCGCTCTCGACCGAATTCGATCTATATTTGTGGGAAACCACAGATTAAACCCGAAATGAGATCGTTAATCTGTGGACCGTGCTTGGAATTTCGATATTCCTACTATCGACAATATATCCAGATTTCCAAAGTCCAAATGTTCCACAAAAATTATAAATTGATTAGAAACATCTTGGACTTGGTTGGGATCCAATCCACGACCTGTTGATTACAGCCTTACATCGCTACATTAAACTAGCGAGGCCGTCAAAAAATACATATTATAATGAAGTTGAGGATACTATCTTGGTTTGAAAAAGATATTTAATTATCTGTGAACTACAACTGAGGAACGACATTTTTTACATTTGTATATGTTATTTTATTTTAACATATTTCTAGGTTTTTATACTGTTCTAGAAAATCTGGCACCGCACTAGACATACTATTTAACACGAAACAACACGTCGACGTGTCTTATCAGTGATCGCGAAGGCTGAGCTATTTTTAGACGATGTATTTACTCAAATTTAAGAATTATCTATATTAACAGAGGTATTTCGTGATATAGTTTGCTCTTATGCGTGAACAGAGGCATAACTCGGCGTAGACGCATGTCTGTAGACGAATATTCTTTGTCCATTTCAATAATCGATAACACGCAATTTAGCCCAGTTTTAATGTCTTTTGATAGATTTCGACATTAGGCTTAGACGTTAATTTTGAAAGGAATTGTCTTCATTAATTCTACTAATCTATAATAGGCAAGCAGTAATCTCCCAAATCCGTTCTCACCCCATATATCCTTACTTGTGATGAAAAAACAAGACTCGCAGCCTTTGCAACATATCGCTCGTCGTATTTATTTAGAAAACGCGTTAAGCAGTAATATTTCTCAGCTAATAACAGATAATTGCGAGCTATTAACGTCCGGGAGCGTGACTTACTGCCGTTACACACGATTCGTTGAAATTCAATTATAACTAACCTATGGAATAGGAAAATGAAGTTATGCCCTCAGAGACTCATAGGAATCAAAACTACTTTTAAATACTCCCAAGATAAAAAATAATTTAAAAAATTCGAATATAATATATTCAATTGGGGTCGTTACCGACCTTTTCTCGTCCCTCCCCAAAGGATTCCACCCATCTTTGATTAAAATTTGACCGCCTCTGTAGCTGAATGGTTCAACGTGTTGCCTAGCATTGCGTTATGTGAAAGGTCCTAGGTTCGGATTCTGGAAAAAAAATAGATGTCGGTTGATCAGGGCACCAGAAGTCTGATCAATTACTTACGTGTAAATAAAACTGATCAGTGAAACGAACAAAGAAATCGCATACACAGATAAAAAGATATGTTAAAGTTATTTGTCATTCAATTATTTTGTTTGCCATAAAGTAGAGTTCCTTGTGTGTGATCGAATTACTATGCAATGCAATAGGAGACCCTCTATCAACTCAATACATCAATATGTCGTTCTCGTTTGCATGATAAGGTGATAGCAAATATTTGTATGTTTCATAGATAATAGAATGGACAAACATATTTCACTTGCACATAATTTAATAGTCAATTTATAAATTGCTTATGTTAAAAATCTACAAAGATAACTGACACTAGCTTTTATCTACGACTTGATGTTTAAAATACCATGTGTGTGTTACAAGTCCTAGCATTGTTTTTTCTCAAGTGACATCGCCAGTCACTATTTAAATTAAGATAAAGTATTATCTATGAAATTACTATACTAAACCTCTGTAAAATTCTCAATTTGCGCATTTAGCGCTGTGATGACTTATTGTTGTATAAAATATAGGAACCTCACGACTTTTGATAAGGATTTTTGATATTGTTACCACCCATTTAATATCCAGAAATGTAATATATTTCATGTAATTATTTACTGATTAGATAATCTCGGACCCTTTTTAGATCGAATCCATGACCCGTTACTTATTTGATAGACATTGCTCCCAACAGATCAATGAGTGCGTCGATGTCGCTTCCAATCTCTAAAAGCTTTGAAAAGTTCTTGAGAAAAGTAAAAGCATTATTTTCCTAAAATGACAACAAACAAAAATTATTATATTTTTGAATACAATTGTAAATAAACAATCTAACGTAAAATGCAAAATATTGTGAACGCACGGCTAGATTACAAACTCGACAAACCTAAGATGATAGATCCATCGTAGATAACGAGGCTTAGAACGGGCTGTGTATCATATTACAGCAATAAAAGCACGGAACAGCAATGCCTCGAGCGATGTGAGCCTATAATTTTCGTACAAAAAGCCACTACAATACCAAGGGTCAAGACGTACCGCGTCTTAACCGGCACTCGGCAATTATTCAATTTGTCCCTCGGTTACTTGTTCAGGTACACTTGTCGCCGTTTTGTGTGTATGCTCGAAGCGCGCTCGTTCATCCTTGACCGATTGAGGCTTTGCATAGACATTTACTTTGCAAATAAGCGCAAATAATCGCAAGTACGTACTGGGATTTGTTTCGCGTGGGTTTTTAGCAAATATCTATTGTAAATTCATTTTACTTTAGGTATAATTAAAATTTCTTAACAGATTCTATTCAAGAACTAGAAGAAACGTATTTATTGGAAGTTTAAAATTCTATGTCTTCCCTATTTAAAATTATAAAAAAAATGTCCATCGTTTAGATTTGTGTAAGAACAATTTTAGCTTTACTGGAGTGAAACATAGACATTGAACTACATAATATGATGAGAATATGAGGCAGAGTAACCTAACTGCAATTTTATGTCTTGACTAATTTATATTTTTAAAGTCTAAAAATGTTAAATTCATTTTTACTTATGTTAATTGCGAGTTTTTATTTTCCTCCTTATAGAAAATCAAGTTTTTTGTCATTAGGCCCCTCTGTTCTAGCAGGCTCTTATATAAAAGGTAAAAAACGTTGTTGATTTTCAAAATATTTATTTTCTTTTTTGTATCTTTTCCAGTTGGTGCTATGGGGGGCAATAGCGTATCTGATGGTGTTTCCTCCCCTCACAGAGACCAGAATGGAGGAAAGCATGGAGGTATACTCGCATTAATTATTTCTTTTCTTGTCTAGATAATGAGAAACTCGCAGGCCTTCAGAGGCCAAGAGATAAAATAAAAGAATATGTCAAATTGTTAATATAAAATACACATTATTGAGGGTTAATTTGAAGTTAATATTTAAACAAATTATTAATAAAAAGTATAATTCTGTTTAATCAGAATCCGTTGCGTTTTAAAAAGTTTATGCTCTAAATACTTACTAACAATAAAATATATATTCATTCGTTCATTAACATAATAGAGCACATTAAAATAAAACAATGGAAAGGTTTTAAAACGCGAAATGTTTAGTTATCTTATTTCAATTTGTTTTAAACCGTTAAACGTGTTTATTTTAATAATGAAAAATGTAACGGGGCGAACACACATCTGTGTCTTTTTCGAACATATCGCTTGACAAAAATTATTTGCTGTTAAAGCCTCATCCCACATCAACGGAGAAGCCGGAAACAGAAGCTCCGCGTATTGAACTGAAGATGGGGAAATGCTTCCACATGTCGAGGGAGCATTGTCCCACGGAGCAGCGTTGCAAGAGAGTGGATCCCGTGTCCGTCTTCTGCTGCGACGTGGACAGCTTCAGACTGAGAGAGGCACTGGCTATCACAAGTGAGTTACAGTGGGGCGAGTTCTCATAATTTTAATAAAGGCTAAATGATAACATGGACAGGAAATGGGGAATAGCTCTAATTTATGTCTAGTTTGTTTAATATAGCGTCATATTATTTTCAGTTCTCGTCTATGAAGTTTTTTTTTTATATTTATTATTTACACCGAGTGATTCATTTACAAGGGTAAATGAATCACTAATAAAAAATAAGAGACTAAACTCCGTTCCAAATAAATCTGTAGAAGGGGTAAACATTAAACAAACAAGTCATGTAGACAACGGTTTTTTTGTATGGTGATGCTCAAATGGCGAATAATAAGACACAAAAGCGTCGATTTTTAATTATTTTCACAAATTCTAAAAAAAAAATTAATAATATGTATCTATTATTTCGGCTGTATTTCTCTTATAATAAAATCTTACCATTGTTTGTTCGGAATATTTGAAAATAAGGGCGATCATTTTTTTGTAAGCTTAGAGCGTGCTTTGTTTAAATGCCGTTGTTCATTTGGGAAAGTGATGATTTTAGGATTTTTCATAATTATCGATAAAGTTTTAGCTTTTCCAGCTTTTTTAATTTAACAGTAAAACTCTTGTATTTATTGCGACGTAGTTATAACGAAAACAGGATGATGTCTTGGTGTTTTAATTCTTTGTGAATATAAGGTATCGATTATTGATTTTCGCAATACCTTCAATACAAATCGATTTTATACTACAACACTGTTTTTCCACAGATAATGTTTATTGCAATATGACACGTCGGATATTTTTTGTGGCACTAATCACTATATTATTTTAAATTTAAAAGTGCTTGTAAAGCACTAAAATTACTGAAAAGTTTAGAATTTATATAAGAAATGTGTAGTTGAATAGTGGCAAGTGATAAATATAGGTATACTGGGACGACGATCGTGCGTTTTTGGAGGTAATTTAAGTGATTTGTCGAGATGTACAAATTCAGTTGGAACGGAGTATAGTTAATAGTAAATCAATTTTGTAAGGAAATTAATTAGCATTCAAAAATATATTAAAACGACATATAAGTAGAAGTCGCACATTTAACGTTTATATACTTATTTCAAGTTCTAATAAGTTGAAAGAAAGTTATGTTGTATTGTGTATTATTCATTTGCAATAAAATAAAACAACTAGACAGAATAGGTAGATTTGACAGGGGTTATTAAAAATAAAAAGAGAAAAGAGTATAGAAAGAGGTATGATGTAGACTTTGTAACAATATATAACAATAATCTACCCCTGTTTTATTACTATTGCACCTCTATTGAGACTAGTAAAGCCTCAAAATTATCACTTTATATTAAAGACAACGTATAGAGTCAAATTAGTTTTTAAAAGTTGATTAGTTAAATCCAATCAAATAAGAATAACACTTGACTGCACGACGTGAAATAGAAACTCAGAATGTGCACTTGGCAACTGTTTAGCATAATGCAATGCAGATATAATCGGTTTCATGCATGCTTAATGCATTTACGATTGTATCTTCTACACGTGTTCTGTCTGAAACAAGACATTGTGTAGCAAGTGCAAAAATGCAGTTTGTAATATTCGATGTGCATGTAATATTTTTAGTTTTACTGTTGAAAGTATAATATTACATTTAGTATTTGCAATTTAAAATATACTTAACTACAGACTTGAAAAATGATCAATAGACTTCCCACCAATTAATACACGATAGATCTTATTCATCTAAAATTATTGTAAATTTCCATTTTTGACTATCTTGGTGGTCTGATGGTTACAATGAATGTCTTATAATAAACTGATGGGTCATATTTAACATTCAATATATATTTTCTCTGAAACATGTTAGACCACAGCGAAATCAGAGGTTAACAAATAGACAGTAGGAATATCCCAATTTGGTCCAAGTCGGTTTTAGCCAGGTCTGTTGATTTAGTTGTAGTTCTTTGATTTCCTAATGTTTAAAATGCGTTGACATGGACACATTGTCGATATTTCACCCCTCAATAACTGATCACCATGTTTGTCCCGGGGACAGACAAACATGGTGATCAGATCTGCTACAAAAACAGACTAGCTACACCAAATAATGTATTATATCTCTTTATAAAATAAAATGCATCAGATTTGTTATAATGAATTACGGCGTCTCCCAAGCCACAAATTACCAACCAAATTAACGACACAGAGCCTCGTAGAAGGCATCTGAGATTTACTTTTATCGGCGGCATCGCGTGGGAGAGATATAAATAGCTGAATAGCACAATAATTATGCTGTTACTTCACAAGAAAACATAGAGGTGTATTTATAGTTTAGATCTGCTATCGTAACGCTATTTTAATTTAACAATGTGTATTGTCTATAGTTTACTTGAGTAGTATACATTTGTATGACATTTTTAACAGTTTAAAACGCGGTATATATTTTTTAAATTATCTTTTTACAGCAACGAGCGTTTTTTTATGAAGCGCAGAATTAAAAAGGGGTTAAATAATACTTCACGTTTTAAACCGTTGAAAGTGTTTTATTTAAAGTTTTGTATCAACGTAGGTATGAAGGTGACCGAGGATTAGAAACCTTTTTGTATAGTTTCCATTAGGTTTCGGGTAGACGAAAGGGCCCAAATTCTTGAAAATAGACTAGCAAGATTCGTCCTGCTTTGAATTTAAAAAAAAAATCACGTTTCCGTATACATATATCTTTTTTTTACACGCGCGAGAGGTGCATGTGTCATAGGTTAAAAAAATCGACGATGACACGTAAGACACCGTAGTTCAATTTGTTAGAGCAACATCACGTGAACGGTGTGGATGCCGGTTCAAGTCCTACCCGAGTCGTAAATTTTATCTAAACTCGATTTTAACGCAAATATGTTGAATTCCAGTGACGCAGAATACCACAAACTTGCACGTCCTGAATGCAACGATCAAGGAGCTGGACGTCTCGCAGTCGACCTTTAGAAGATTAACCTCCATGGCCCTCACTGACGGAAATATCGGGAAAATTGTAGGTAGGTCAACATTGTGGTATACAAAATGTTGTAATTAATTATTTATTTGATTTCTTGAAACTTGCCAAAATGTTGTCCGTCCCTAACTAATATAAAACGGCTATTATTTGTCATAAAGGGAATTTCAAGCTTAGGTTTATCTCCTCCTTATCATCATGTTACAACAAGAACTAATACTAGGAGCACACCATAATTAAAATAACTTTATATTTGTATTTCTGTTTCTGCTAAAGTTAAGGATGTTAGCCAAGAGGAGAATAAGGCTAACAATGGTAAGTACTAACACGAAAAACATGAATCTAAAGTTTGTTCTAATCATTATTTTATGATACCATCCAAACTATAAAATTTGTAAAATAAAACAATCGGAAAAGGCACTCCCGACCTCACAATTGGAAATTAAGAGCATAAACCACGAAGCCATCCTGGCTTTTACAAGACGTTATGTACTAAATTTAACCCTATATACATTTCCAGGCCAATTTCCAAAGTACTCATCTATCGCCTGCTTGAACATCTCCAACAACAACTTGAGCAGTATCACACCACAGCCCCCGGGGCAAAGGCCTTTCGCGTACCTTTTCACGCTGTCGATTTTGGACGCATCGGCGAATAACCTCACAGAGTTCCCACTCAGCCTGGTGCAAAGCAATAGGAAGATACATGTGGATTTGTCAGGTAAAATATGTTTAGATATACTTGCATAAAAACATAAATTATAGTAAAGTACTTTTTCCAGTGTTGTCCCTCTAATGATCTGAATGTATACAAGTAACGTACATTAAAGTTTACAGAGCACAGAAACGAAATTTCTTGAGGGTAGTTCTCACAAACTTAGTTTTCATGACTAAATTTTACCAATAACGACTAATTGATTGGAAGAATGAAAGAAAATCGAATCGAGAATTTGTCTTTATATCAGTATGACAAACTAACGCCCAAAACTAGCTTTAAGTTTCATTTTCTGCAACATACATAATCTATTTTTTTGTTAATAACTAAAACAATTCTTAAAATTTATCAGGTAATAACTATCTGCCGTGCAAGCACTTCCAGAAGGCCATGGAAGCAAACAACGGCTCCCTTCTCCAATTCTTGAACCACGAGAATACGTACTGCGCTCTGGACCTTCGCTTCAATTGGTTCCAGAACGTGCAAATTGTCCAGATAGACCATTTACAAGTGCAGAAGGACGTAAGTAGTGCAATTTTAAAGAGAAACTAAACAAGTTTAAATAAAAAACAATATTTATACACTAGACTATAAAAACGCGAAATCTAATAGTTAGCTAAATTAAAACGTTAAAGAGTTTTATTATAAAATTCTATTTTCTTAATTTTTATTTATATCTTGTGAAAAATAATATTTACCATACAAGTTAAAGAGAAAAACAATATTAATTTTTAAATTTATTACTTTAGTTATATTTTTTTATTATACCAGAAGATTTATACAAACTCATCAGGTTCTTAATTATAGGAAATATTTATATGTTTATGTATTTACAGTTGAACAAAAGCTGTCAGGACATAAAGCCGGCGAACATTAACTGCACATGCACCACTCTGCTCGAGCTGGTGGTCCACCAGGAGGCGACTTACGTTGTGGCAGTGGATTGCTCCCAACGGGGCCTGAAGGAGTTACCCACTGGTCTGCCCAATAACACCGTCAACCTAAACGTGTCTTATAACAACGTATGTACTTATAGATTTTTCTACTCTATTTCTGTCTCGTTAGTTGGTTATTGTATGGTAGAGATAAATCCCGTTTCCCTTCGTAGGGTATGGGATGAACACATCTCTGTTTCACTGATCGATTTATTTACAGGCAAGTAGTTGGTCACATTCTAACGATTTGAATACATTTCGTGTCTTAAACCGTTAAGTGTTTCATTTATATATGTACTACTAGCGTAACTTACAGACACTATATGGATCCACAGATCACATCACTGCAAGCGATCTCCGATGACGCGTCCTACGACCACCTGAGCTGGTTGATAGCGGACCACAACGACATCGCCAGCATCGTGGAGCTGGAGGGCTCCAAGTTTATCGACAACTTTCGCCTCTTCTCCATCACTAACAACAAGTTGAGATCGGTTAGTCCCTCCATGTCCTTCTGTCTTCGCGATATTTCATCTTTTCTAGGTAAATTTCAATCAGCCAATGACAAACTACAAACTGAGAAGTTCGATAGTTGAATAAAAGATGGCACCTTCGTAAATTTAATTTAAGATAAGATTTATATTTCAGATAATAGAAAAAAAAACTATATTGTTTCTAATTACACCTAGTCAGACCCGTTAGTGTAGTGTCCAACATTTTTCTAATCAATTTACAATTTTTCTGTGGACCTGTTGGACGTCATCTGGAAATCTGGATGTCAAATGGGTGGTACCAAAATCAAAATTCCGTCTGAGACACGAACCACCGTCCTCATGCGAAAAGCCGTCAAATTTAATCGCGTCTCGGCTTCAGCCCATAGACAAAATCATTTTGTTTGGATGTTTTATTTTATCTCATACCTCATCTATCATAAATATATACTTCAGATACACCCCTACGTGCTGTCGAATCGATTCGTGACAACCGGAGCGACAATGCTGATTGCTGATAATCACATTCACTGCGACTGTAACACTGAGAAAGTTCTCAAGGTATTTCTTAATATAATTTTAATGTATCTTCCATTGGGTTAAAGTGTTTTATTTAAATTTTCTTACAATTTCAGCCCTGGCTCCTGGAACACAACGTAGCAATACCGGACTACAAAGACCTGTGGTGCGACAACAGCATGGGCGCCGTGGTCGACCTCAAGGAGTTCCAAGTGTGCCACACTCCACGCGACTGGACTGACTACATATACTACATCATCGGTCTGGAGGCGCTGGTCCTCGCGCTGCTGATTAGCAAAGTGTCGTATGACTACTGGGTCTTCAAGACGGCGGGATACTTGCCGTGGCCGGCGAACAAGATGCCGAGGCTGCCCTGTGACTGGCTTTGTGAATAGATCTCGTTGTGAACTTTTGAACAAATTGTATAGGGCTTTCGGCCATTTTGCAAAACATGGGTTTTTATTGAGCAATGCTTCTCGAGCAATTGATATTTGAGAATGTCGCAGCGACGACTTGAAGAGATAGTAGAAAAAGAACATATAACGTAGAAGGAAATAAGCTGATGAACACAAGCACACAATATCTCAACAGGGATCGTTTACTAAAATGTTAAATAGAAAATATACTTTACAGTCCAATTAAAAAAACCTACAATCTATTAATATCTTGGCGAGCAAAAGCAATTTGTGGTTTTTTTATGTTGCTTATGTTATTAAATACATGTCTTAGGTTTGTCAGTTGATGTAGATGTAGAGGAAAAAATATGTTCTTTTAGAGCAGGTTATTGTGTATATATTGAAAAATATTAAGTTTAATTATTCGTTAAAGATGAGCCACGTTTCTCTAGTTATTAAGTAGGAAAGAAATATCATCGAAGTGCCTTTGTGATCAATAGGACTAGTTATTTTTGTAAGATCTTTTTTTATAGGAATATAACAACGAATATTAAATTGAACTTTAATTAAGAGATTATTGTTATGTCTTCTACTTTTATATCAAGTTCTGTTGAAGTGCAATAGTTAATATTGATAGATATTAAGAATCTCCAAATTGCTCGAAACATTTACTATTTTAGCTTGCGTGTGTACTTTTACTGTTGTTTCGTGAGTCCGTTTTTCTACTGACACTTCAAAATATAATATGTAACACATACAAGCGGTCATGCGAACTGCGCAGGAGCATAATATTTCTTAAGTTCTTTATCTTAAGGAGATTTATTATTAGACCTAAAAATAAAATACAGGGCATTTTACATTCGTAAAAATAGCAATGATTTGCTTATTTGAGGCTCGAAAGTACATTTTTTAATTTAATAATATAATGTTGTAATATAGTCATAGAGGTATTTAAGAATCAGTAATCTATTTTAATAAACCGATTTCCTTGTATGACTTTTATAAAGTCTACTCTTTGTCTCGCACTTACGTGTGAAAGAGACGGGCGACACTTAATAATGAATTTAAATCATTCTTCTTTTTGGAAGTCGGTTATAATTGCGAAACAAGGCCTGGCTATGATTTTTTATATAATTAACAGTATGAATTTGCAAAATATTATAACCTAACTAGCAGAGGCTAAAGTGCCATTTTATTTTGTAATATAAATTAAAATTTAACCGTTTAAAAGGCGAAACATATGAGTTACTGATTTTAACTACGAACCAACTTTTTTGATTCTTTGCAAATATTTAAAAATTATTTCGCGTTTTAATAAGGGTTTAATTTGCATTCCTTCGCGTGAAGTAAATTAATTTCTTTATGTTATATATATTTTGGGGTTTGAATATTTGTGTATAAAATAGCATAATAATTTTATAAGATGTAAAGACTGTATATTTTGTACTTTAAATAGATATGTACTTTCGTTGTACGTGGTTTTTGTTGGAAAAATAAATCTAACATTCATTTTTATGATTTATACATTAACGTACAAAGAAACGTTTTTAGTAAAAAAGAATTTAAATTTATTTAGGTTTAAGTGACTTCTTTTTCTTCCTCACATTGTTCTTTTTTCCTTTGTCGTTTTTCTTCATATTCTTCTTCTTTAAGTTTCCTTCTTTAGAGATTTTTCTGAATTTCTTACTTTTGCCATTCTTTACCTCGTCTGTGTCTTCCGTTTTATTTTTCTGTTTATCGTTTGCATCTTCTAATTTCCTTCTACAATAAAAAATAATTAGTTGTTAACATTCGATGAAAATTCCTAAAACCTCTAAAAACTTCCACTCAAATAACCACCCACATAAAAAAAATAGTAATGTTCGAATCTTAATTATTAGAGTTCAAGGAAAATGAGGGTAGTTTTAATTTTTATTTGTTTAAAGTAAATCTGTATAAGACATGATACACATCCTAGCCATTTAAATTATAATAAAAGTATGATAGATAAATATTATTAACAAATACAAAAATGTTGCTCTTTTTACATAAATACTCTTCTTTCTCTTCTCTTACTTAACTTTGATAGAAGAAAGAACGTACTTGCTAGGTTTCTCCAGAATTGTGGATATCTTGTCTCTATGGGGCGCCTTCTTGAGCAGCCTCTTTCGTTTATTGTTGTCCTGTTTTATCGTCAACATGTACTCTGGCACCTCGCAACCGGACTGCTTCATTACTGATGCGATGCTGAAAACACAAGTCTGTATACTTGGCATATATATGTATACTTATGTCTGAAGGTGGGAAGAAAAGGATACAATTGTGAGACACAGAGTGGCAGCACGGAACGGTCGCCGGTTCAAATCCTGCACGTATCATCATGGCTTTTCAATCTACATATATTTTTAATTTATGTCGTGTATTCAATTAAATGCCTCTTAGCTGCCAGATCATCAGTCTGTATCTGGTGTATAACAGCGACATCTAGTGTCACTACACTACATTTTTCAATTGATAATCCATTAATCGGCTGATAAATTATTTAACTTGGATTTGAAAGGCTAATTAAAATTATCATAATCAATAAGACGTACCTTCTTAAATTAACGACATCATCTTGTGTAAAGAAGGTGATGGCTCGTCCCTTCTGGCCGGCGCGACCTGCCCGCCCCACCCTGAATACATATGAAAAAATATTTAAAAGCAGTTGTTTGGATTTTCTTTCGAATCTAATCGGCAATTATTTTTTTTCGTTAAAAAAATACTTTTTGAACATACTGCAGTAGTTCTTTTATAGAGCGTGTACCTGTGAATATAGGAGATGGCAGACGGTGGAAAGTCATAATTGATGACCAAGTTTACACCACGGAAGTCGATACCGCGTCCCAATAGCTCCGTACAAATCAGAACCCAGATTCGACCCACACGAAAACTGCGCACCACGTTGTCTCTCTAAAAAAACGATACATTCATCTTTATTTCTATGGTTAAGCGATTGTGGTTTTTGTAATATTTCCTAGTAACAGAATGACAAGTCTTAATAATATCATTAACAATGGCACAATAGTTACCGTTGTACTCTTTAGAAATGGAACCCAAAGAATTAAATCTAAAAAGCACATCAGCATATTTTTCACAAAATCCCATCAGCTTCTAACACATTTTTTTTTTCAACACTTAGAACTATGGTGAAGCTAAATATATATGTCTGTTATTTAAAACCACACAACAGGATAATACCTGCGCTTGAGTCCGGTCGGCGTGTATGACGTCAACATTGATTCCGTCGTATATCAACTCTTTGAACAATTGTTTCGCTCTGTCTTTGCTTTGTACGAACACTGGAAATTAAATAACACATTTTTATGATGACCGGCATGGGGAAGCTTGCTGGAAGGTGAAAAAGGTCCAGTCGTCAGCATGGGAAAACCCACAGACTGAAAGCGAAACTTCAATCAAGCCTTTTTCATCTATGGACGGTGGTTCGAGTCCCGGACGGAATTTCAATATTCTTACCACCCATGCAATATCCATATATTTTTTAATTGTATAAATTGATTAGTAACATTTTGCCCCCGATAGGGACTTCTATTCTATTAATAGTACAGATTAGAAAACCTAAATTAAGACAGCCGTGGTCACGGGGAGACCACGGCTGCTGCAAAGCATCCGAAACGTCGGGCCGAAGTTAAAGATCATTTTCAAATAATTTTAACTAATATATCGCGTTTTAAACCGTTAAAGTGTTTTATTTAAATTAACAAATAAGATGCTACCTAAAACGGGTGGCTTAAGCCCTTTCTGCACTAATTGTCTAAATGCGACGAGTTTTCCATTTTCATTTCCACAGAATAATAATTCTTGATCAACAGTATTTGCTGCAGCATTTCTGAAATAAGATATATATTGAACTTAGTTGGATGTATAATATATATAAAATAAAAAGAGTCCTAAATTGAATTATGATAGCCCAGTCAACTAGTTCCCAAACAGGGCAATAAAAAGAGTAGTGGCGAGTTTCTTGACACAAGTGAGAACGGGTAGTTAACATGTTAGTTCGCAACCCACAGGCTATAATTTGCATCACACTTATAACCATTTTAAATTTAAATAATAATATAAAAAAGCTTTATTAAAGTAAAATCGCACCTCAAGCCGACAGTTACATTTATAAGCCCGCGCATATTATGTCTCGCCCATTTTGCGAGAGTCGGAGTGTGTGTGGCGCTAAACATAGCGAGTTTAGTACGTTTTGTATCACAAGCAGATATTATGACGCCAAGCTGCTGCCGGAAGGTATCCACCTCCTCTTCAGAGCCTTCAAACATCTTATCAGCCTCATCTATTATTAACCATTGCACCCTGGAATTACAACACAAATACATGTCTACAAATTTTTCAGAAACATGTTGGACTTCTGGATATTCAATGGGTGATAGGAATATCAAATTCCGACCACTGTTAACAGATGAACAAGCCGTGAAGCTTAATGGTGTTTCGGTTCAGTCTCTGGATTTCCGAATATCCAAAGCCAAAATAGGTTGACAGGCTGGGTATTTCACCTACTATCAAGTTAACTCCAAGCTTGTTTGTCCTCCTCTAACATTAAAAAAAAAAATGTAAATAAATGCTATGCTCTTATGCTTACTTGTCTAGAGATATGGTAACATTGTCCTGATTTAGCATGTAGCACAGACGATTAGGTGTGCTTATAACAATATCTGAAATCAAAATAAATAATAAGTTTTTTGTTTTCTTTATAATAATTAAAAATTCTCATCTTTGCAATAACTCACCACTCTTTCGTATAGTTGATTCCCTCTCTTTGACCTTACTGCTTTTCACACTCTTAATAACACTACACCTGAGTTGTGTAGATGCAGATAGTCTTAGGGCCTCTCTATAGATCTGATGAGCTAGCTCCCGTGTGGGGCACAGAATAAGAGCCCTTGGGCCTCCAGACGGAGCCCCCAGGGAATGCAAAAGGGGAATGGTGAATGCTGCTGTTTTACCTGAACCAGTTGGTGCCGTTGCTACTATTTGACGACCCTACAATATACAATGATGCATTATTTTATATAAAATATGTGTATATTATTTTTATAAATTAATCTTTCTAGTAGGATACTAGAGGTTACCTCTAACAAACACGGCAGCGCTTGCCTCTGTATCGGCGTGGGTTCTGTATATCCACACTTTTTTATTGTTTCTACCATTTCTGAAGATATTTTATACCTCGAGATGAGATCATCGAAGTTTTTCAAAGCACTGGGTATGTGCCGTCCGACAGCTCTGATGCCATGTTCGTTGCGGAAGCGATTTTGCTGTCAAAAAATAATTAAATGACAAGAAATAATTAAAAGATCCATAATCATGGCACAAGGCATCAATTACAATTAACCAATCATCTTTTTCATTTCATACAAGTAGCATGACTAGAATAACAGATAAGAAATACCTCTTCCACCGTAAGTTTCATCTGCAATTCCTCAGGACTAAGTTTACTCTTCTTGTCTTTTTTCTTTTCTTTTTTGCCAACACTAAATCCATTAACAATCTTGAGCTCATCATCATCCAAGATCTCATCATCTGAACTGGATAACTCTGATTCTTCTGATACAAATAAATTCATTGTTATTTAATAAATAAAAGAACCTTATATTAGTCGTTGACTTAAAAATATATCTTTATTAGTGTGTCATTGAGACTAAGACATATTATAATACATATGACTTCGGACGAAGTAAAGGAAGATGACATTAAAGAATTAAAGATGGAACAAATAGTAAGATTCTGCAAGCAAACCGGAAGGTTTAAAAAGGGAAAAGGGTGAGAGTTAGATAACCCAGAAAACGAGGAGGAAATGGGTAAAATAGTGTGGACTGATCACCCGACCTTCTATGGGTGTCCCCGATAGAAAATAATAATAATTAGTGTGTCATATAAAGAATGTAAAATCCCATCCCATTTCAATTGTGACTGTTTCAATGATTGGTTTTATTTACAGGCAAGTATTTGATCAAGTTTGGTTCTGTGCCTGTCTGCCCAACCTATTCTTTCCCTGGTATTTTAGCCAGAGACCTCTTGTGCTTAAAGCAATTCGAGGCAACCAGTTTAACCATACCGCTACAGAGGTGTTGGTAGCCTACAAAGATTGCAAACTCAGGTTAAATAGCCTAATATGACATTGCTGTTGTTTTGAAGATTTACATGAACTACAATAGGCAGTCAATTAGCAGGGTAAGGCCATGTTGATTGAGTATGGTTATTTGAGGACAGTAAGAAGCAAACTCAAATATTACGCCTGAGTACCATGTGAAGAGAATACTAAATGATATAGCAAGGCCTTTATCTCCCTGTACAATAAAAATCTGTCTTACATACCCTTATTGGCCGTTTCATAATTTTCTTCATGTTCTGATTCTTCTAGTTTATCCTCACATTTTGCAATTTTCACGTCGGTTTCTTTCACTAAAACCGGTTTCACATTTTGTTTCTGTAAAACGCCAAACAGAAACTATGATTTATTCCTCGAAAGTTTATGAAAAAAAGCAACAAAGAGTAAAAAAAATAGTTACGTGTATATTAATATAACTAAGAATTAAACGTAAAATAAAGCAAGAGGTTATGTTCATATTTACCGAATTCTTCGCGCCCAATACACGTTGTTTAAATGTTAGCCCTTTAGTAAGTTTCTTAAATATGTCGTAAGCATCCATATTAAAGTATATGCCATGAACGTTTCAATAATTTAAAAGTTACAAAACAAATCCATGTTTTTATTTATGTACGTACTTGTTTTGAAATATGAAATGATCTTAGCCACTGTCAAATGTCAAAATTAATTTCAATATCGTCGTATAAACGGGTAAGCCAATTAAGAAGACGAAGAAAGGAGATAAGATAAAATTTTAATCACTCTAATAATATTAAACTTTGATGTTATTGTATTTTTCTATATTTTATCTGTTGTAGTTAACTTTTGTCAGCTGTCACAAAATATATCTGGTTTATTTATTATCTTTTTTTAGCTCTAATAAATGCTAGTGTGGGAATATTATACTATTTAAAATACATGTATTTTTTAAATACCGCGTTATTTTTTAAATGCCAGGTGTAAAAAACAAGAATAATTAGTTTCATAATGTCTTGTCATTCACACCCACATTGGCACAGTATGCTTAAGAATAAATTAAGAAGAAGAAGAATCTAAATAATGCTTTCAAGTGCCTCTGACAAAAATGTACATGACAAAGTTTAGAAATTTATCTTTTCGGAATAAAATAATAATACGTGGGGGTAGTTCAGTTTTTGTCGTTACGACGGCCGAATGATTAGCTTTTTATTAGATTAGCGCGCGTTTTCAACGCATGCGAAATAGTTGTGCACAGTGTTTTTTAAGTGACTGTTAATTGAGAACATAAAACGTTATACTGCGTGTGGGAAAGACTAGAAACCATAACAGACTAGTTTTTATTATAATACTTTCCGCGAGTTCAGTGCGTTTTTAGATGTAAAATCAGTGGTGTGTAATGCCCACCCCCTTGGGGGGGTAATAATTTAATACATAATCCCTCTTATGTATGCGCCATTTGTTATTAATAATTACGATTAAGACTGACAAGCCACGACAATAGTGTAGGTACATAAGTCAGGGGTAGCCTCTAGACGAGGTAGGTAGCATTTTTCTCTTTTTCTGTCTTTGTGATACATATTTTTTGATAGCAGAGTGTGGTTTATGATTTCATACACAAGATAATAGATGTCAAGATAGGGAAGAAAATCAAGTTTCCAAAGCGTATCGCCTCTATTTAAAAATGAAACGTGCATTTCACCCGGTTTATCGCAGTTTAGTTCACGTCGGCGCAGATATTTAGCGTATTTGTTAGCTAGTCTCACCGTAGAGTCAGTTAGCAGAGGTCCGTCACATCGACATCTATATCATCGAGATCAGAATATACGCAGGTTAGCATAATCATGTGGAATTTTGGGACTTCCTATAAACCCACTTGGGGTATGCTCTACGAATTTAGCTTCGTTGTAGGGGTTTAGATTTACCGATCGACAGTAAGTCATCGTTTTGTTACATTGTGTCATCTAAACTACGTAATGATATAAGGAATGTTGAAGCAAGAGCACGGAAGCACTTTCGTTATGCATCTTACACCTTTTGACAATCTTATTACGCTTCTAAAGGACGAGTGCCTTCGTTTAGATAACCATACCTACCATCATTACCTATTTCAGCTCCTGTCTATAAACCTAGGCCACAACCAGTACATACGGAACACTGTCGACGGAATTTTAATCTCGCTACTCAGTAATCGGAACTGCGGTGCTCTTTTAGGGTTACGGCCTTGTAAGCATTGCGGAAGTACACATCATGTACATATGTATGTGTATGTACATGGAAAGAGCAGCAATTCTCCTGCTCCTGAGCCGGAAGTAGAACAGCTTGGTTTGCGCAACCTGAGTTTCAAGTCACATTTGGGCGTAACAACGTTAGTTTTAGCGTTCGAAAAACCCCTTTGTTTTTGTCTTTTACGTTGTGCAGACGAGGATTCTCAGGCGCAATTAGTTTATTGCATATTGCCTATCGGTCACAGGACTTGGATAACAGCAGGACTTAGAGTATTATCAAGTGTACCTAGGATAACTGCCCGGGTTCTGTTTGGGTTAGTGTTGTATTTAGTTGACTTGAAATTTGCTTATTTTTATTAATTACTTTCGTAAAATCAGTGGGTATACTACGTGGCGACGTAAGTTTATAACCGCCCCCCCCCCACCTCTTCTTTTTAATATAATAATAATTTTATATTCCCTCTTGTAAGGGCGCCTTTTATTGCCAATTACGATACAGACTGACACGCCACAATAATAGTGTACAGCAGTCACCTCGGAAACATCGGGAGTTAACCACTGGACCAGAGGTATGTATTTGTAATTATTTTTGATTTTTAAATTATATGGTGTGTATCGACATTTTTTGTATTAAAATATCTATTTTGTCTTTGTATTAAAATATTTATTTTAATAGATATGGATTACATATTCTAACTGTGTTGCATATAGTTCTGTTATATTTCTGAGTAATGTATTGAAGCAATCGAATCGGAATTTATATCTATAATGCTAGGATTCTTTTTTTTCTATTATTATTTATCAAAATTATTTTTCTGGAAATCCCTTAGAAAAATTCTCTTTTTTTTAGTTTGTTTTCCAGTAATGTATCGTTTTCAGTATTAATTTTTTTAACTGTACGGGTGATGAATTAGCTTTATGAATAATTAAGAATAGGAAAATAAAAAACTACACATAGTCAATGGAATCACTGCGAGTTTATTAAATTTTAATACATCCAACTGTTTGTCCCATTATTTATATTTGAAAGTACATTCTCCTTCTCGTATGAAACACAAAGGACCGCTTTAAACAACTCAATTTTCTAAAACATCCGATTAAAAGATACTTAGAGTACTAATTTAATAATTCATCCTCTTGATATGTTCCTACTTCGCAGCCCGAGTTGATTCCGTAATCACAATTATCAACAACATCAAAATAAGTTAAGACACCACCGTTCTCTCATCACCAAAATATTAATGATTTTGTAAGAAATTTTTATATTTCGCCTCATCTATATCAAAGTTGGCAGCGAGACAGATAAGTTGACTTTAACTCACAATGACAATTGACATCGAAATTGGAGGGAAAATCAATAACTATTTCAACGACAGTTAGCGCTTTGCTATGGCATCGATTAACATTTTAGCGACGAAAGAGAGCATTACAGTCGCATCTTATACAATCTACAACAATAGTACTTTAAGTGTCTTCACTGGCGACGTCCGCTATCGAGTCGAAGGGGACATCTACCCTCTTCGTACGGTTCGTACGGTCCTACCTACCTTATCGATTCATACACAATACTATAAAACATTTTTACATCCCCTCCCCTGCATCAGAACATCAAAGTATAACAAAACACTCTAACTAAATTTTAATTCTCAACGATGGCAAACTATAACTTCTCTTAACACAATCCTAGCTCAGACAAAACGGCCGCAAATGTGAGACACGCTCGAAATTTTAAATACAATAAATTAAAGTGTGCATCGAGGGTACGCTGCACTCAAAACCTTATAAAAGAGGAAAAAATATCGTCAATAAAAACGCAGATCGTGCATTCTTTACATTACTTAAACGATCTTAAACTAAACGTGTCAGCAAAAATATAGTGCGGTTAAACTTAGAATTGCCACTTAATTAACATTCACATATAAATTGCTATCATAAAAAAATATTTCTGTGTATAAAATGTTACCGAAGCATAACAAGGAACGGCGCGATTCTGTCAGAAATACATAGCACTTTTAACGTAAACATTAGACTATATCACTATGGCGAAATGAAAATTTCGAGGCTTGGCCCGTTTCGGCAAAGCGGTTAAGTACAAACTGGCAGTCGAAAAGGAGCAGCTCGAAACAATGTTAAAATATTGCATAATGAATTGTTGAATTGTCGTTATTCCACAGGGTGTTCCACTGCGTCGCCTGCACTCGTACTCAATTCCTTCGCCAAACTACTCGTAAAATTATTTGGCATTCACTCTATCTATCTCCAACAAAATCGGCCATCCGTCTCATTTTCTGTAGATAAAAGTTATTTCTAGCAATATATCGTATGCAATTAGTGGGTACATTGTAAATACTTTGTAATATAGTTACTGCAGACGGGTTTCAACGAGAGCTCGATCAGAAGCGCGGCGACTAGGTATAGTATATTATAATAAAGCCCTCCTTATTTTAAAAGACATAAGTGCACTTTGATTTACGGAACTATTATTTATGTACTAGTAAATGTATCAGCAGATTACTCGGCGTCGACCGAATCGAAATGAGAGATTGTTGCGAACACAGATTACTAATTCTTTGCTGAATACGAACTTTGCATCTTAACGTTAACATTGTGTCTACAACTTAAATAACAGTTAACCGATGATTTCAACGATAACTACTAACAGCTCATAATAATCTGCTATCTGTTATAATTACTGAGGTACTGTGGCTGATTGGGAACTATTGCTATATTATGTTATAATATTACAATATAATGGAAGATACTGTAAATATTAAAGCTATGGACTTAAGAATACAACGACGATATAATTTACGGACACGAGATAGAAATTTCAACGACTTATAAATCGATGTCAAAAAAGCAACAATGCGTTGGGTACGTCAAAAAAATAACTATAAATATAGTACAGTCAGGACAACGAGTATCGATTAGTATAAAGCCGGTGCGATTTTTACCTTATATTTTATCTGTAGTCGATTTATTCTTAAACGGACCCGCGACTCTGATCGAGCGTTTAAAAAATATTTCAATTAATCAACTATTGCGTACCGGTTGACGCAATTTTCGTTTACGACGTTTAATCTGTCGTCCTTCGGGTACGACTCATAGAAACGGTTAAACTCCGTGAACGAAAACAACGTCAGATAAACTATTGCATTTTAAATATGGAAGTGGATAACAAAATAATGTGTGTATGGGAAGAATCTATGTAACAAATGTTATATTTTAGATCTTTACAATATCTATAATTATTGTATCATAAATATAAATGATCACGTGTTATTGACTCGTCCTGTAAAAGTAAAATCTGTCTCCCGCTTCCGCTTTGAGAGCATGAAAGTTGCGCTCGCGCATCGTCGACGACTTGGGCACTTCGGTGTTCCCACGCTACGCTTTCGTGATCTCGCCGCGGGCAGATAGCACTCGGATTAAAACATCTCCAAAAAACATGAAGGACAATAAGAAATGTGACAGAAAACTTATTAAACATAACACTCGTACACTCGCCTATATCCGAAGTCGTTTGGAGACGGCTTTAACGAAAACGTGACTACTATTATTTGATTCGAAAAAACTTACAATACACGTATACCGCTCGAATCAAATAACGCAGCAGGAGACCTGTTCCGCTTATAATATATATTATTATTAAATTAAACGACACATCTGTCTGTAATACTTAACATTATTGGAGGTAATACTTATGATAGAAGCGAAAAAATGTTTGTGAAAGTTTTGTGAATTTGTAAATTGGTTAAAAATTTTCATTATTAAATACACGAGGTATCGAAAACAAGTTAAAACGCGTTGGCAGTTAGGTGTGCGGTTATAGAATACTGTTGACGACAGCGATGCGCACGCGACGACGGAAGACGACCGAGGCGGTCAGCGCCGCAGACCGGCTCGCGTTCACTTCCCTTATCAGCTAATATATCTAAATTTGATACAAATATGTAGAATATATTAAAGCGACGCGGGCGCAGCCTGCGGTGCCGACCGCGCCGGCCGCCGTCGTCGCCGTGCCATCATAAAAGTTAAATATAATATGTTATTTACTTAGGCTATTGCTATAGTTGTACTGTCTGAAGGCATTCCGTTGCAGATATTGTGCATTACCTATATTAGTAACACAGTCGGTTCATTAAACGTATTTCGATAAACTTAAAACATAAATAGAAGTGGCGAAAAAGCGAAATTAACATTAACCGAGTTTAATTTATTCTCTCACTTATGTTCTTACTATTTAAAAAATGCACAGTTTTGGTATAAATTGCAAATAATAACTTCCCTTTGCGTTTCGCTGTTGCTTCGTATTTTCCATTTGAATTTCGAGCTGCGACGCCTACATTTGCCGACACACGAACGAAACTTAACAATTACCGACGGCCGTCTCCGATTCCGATGTGATTCGCAGCTGTCCTCTGAGATCAAGAATTTTGAAACAAATCGACCGAACCGACCCTAACAACGAGCTATCGAACAGCCGAATAAAAATAATTGCACAGCGAAAACAAGAAACTCAAACACTAACGTAAGACTACGGCGCTATAAATCGATTAGTAGAATATATAAAAATCCTCTCCGTCAATGATTTTATCTAACGCTATTTATTTAATATCACGAGGCTTTATTCCCGATGCCGCGATCCTTTATACCTTTACTCCTAGCTTATAACATATTTACAATTGGAACTACCCGCTCTCCACTTAAGCTCCCTAGTGACGCTACGATCGTTTCCGAACCGCTTCCATCCGTCGGAATCTAACCGGTCAACGTGAAATAAAGATTAATAAAAAACAAAATATCTGAGGTATTACGAAATGGAGGTACTCGTGGGGACACCATACCACCTATACCGAGAAACGAAAACTTTTCATAAAAGCTTAAGCCCGCCCGGCAGACCTACGCGAGCCGGACGCTAAACTACTTATCACAAAGGACATGTAACATTCCGAGAAAGAAAAGTAACATACAATCTTAACGTAGCGCTTAACCGTGAAATGAAAATAAATCGACAAAATAAATGCGAAAATGTAACTGCGTCGACTACGTTTGCATTTCTAGACTGCGTTGTTGTGAACAGTTTTTGAAACCATTTCACCGCGGCACTGATATGGTAATGGTAGCTTTAGATTGCATTTCCGAGATATGGCACAAATCAATCGTCCGGTTTCAGAAGCTGTTAATCTAAAAGAAATAAATGCAAGTCGGCGAAGTCCCCGTTCAATTTTTCTTTGGCTTTGTGAAATATCACTGTTTAAAATACTTTGATCCTGCGCTGTTAACTCTTCTATTTGATATTTGCTTCTTGTGATATGTCGAACGTTTGATCTCCGTTAAAGGTAGATGAATTCGTCAGTAACCCTGATTAGATATGTATGTCGTGTTTTCAGACGAACGCGCGTCCGAGCGATTTCCTATAATAAGTATAAGTAAATAAAATATTTATACAATTCGCAGCCATCTCATGGTTGACACTAAGATTTTAATTTTGAGAATATAATAATATTGATTAATTAATATTAATAATAATAATAATCTAATAAATTTTCATTAACGAGACGTCCGCTACGTTGGTCGACATTTAAATAAGAAACCACTATACTCATAGAGAGAAATCCGAAAATGGATACGTATTAAATATAATTATGTTAATGAATACCTAACGCCTAAGTTTTATACACGAGAAACGTTTACTTTATTCCATGACGTGAATCATGTGTACGTATACGATCGTCGAACGCTGCAATCGAAGACTCGCCACCCTGTTCGCGGGAGCGCCGCTCGGGCTGGCGACACCCGCTCTCTGACGTCGTCGTCCGTGAACTCTTCGCGCATCCCATGGCGCATCCATGTTCGGAAGCGTCCAACACCAATGGCATGAAGACGAACGAAGGCACGACTACTTACTTATACACCGACATCGAAGCCAAATAGAATACAAATATTGTTCAAATAGACGTCAACTCTTTTGTACTTTCGAAGATTCTAAGAAGTCTTTAATTTTATTAACATCAACATTTTTTTTTTACTTTTTTACCTAAAATTTTGGATATTAACCTCTAAATAATTTGTATTTAAATTTAGATTTGGCGATCCGAAAAAGTCTCTTTAAAAAATATTTTCTTTGCTTTGTTTAAAAATTTGTACGTTCCATTTTGTACAGTTACCCGAATCTAATTTGACACTAGACATTAAAATCGAAAATCGATCTCGTAAAATGTTATATCCTTTAGAATATAGTTGGCATTATTTTGGCAGTACTAGAAAATATTAATACTTTAGTATTGCTCTGAATTACATTGTCGTTTCGAACACTGTCAGACATCGCATCGTTTGAAGTCCATCTTCGAGGCCGCGTCGCGGGAATACTGTTCATTTTAAAACTAACGTCAATATTTTACTACCCTTACGTTACACGATTAAAGATTAGAAATGCGGCAGAGCTCTGCGTTTTGGCATCGTCCGTATTGCACACGTGCTGTCCCTTCGGCCGCCGCCTCAAGCGATCGTCTGCGGTCATTGGAGGCCCGGCAGCTGGGGCCCGTGCTCCCCGGCGAGGTCGAAGAGGTGGTGCGGCGCCGGGGCGAGCGCGCCGTGCAGCGCCGACGTCTTGAGGAGGCGCTTCAGCATGCCGCTCGAACCCCGGTGCTGCAGGCTCTTGTGGGTGGTGAGCGAGTTCTTGGTCCGATACCTTCGGTGGCAGAACTCGCAGACGTAGAGCGTGTCGGACTGCTCGTGCTTGTCTTGGAAGTGCCGTTTGAGGGAGTAGTAGCAGGAGAATGTCCTGCGGCAGTAAGGACACTCCTGAGGCTCATTGATACCGCCGGCCGTGGGCGGGGGCATACGGAGTGGCGGAACAGCTGAAACAGTCAAAACGTCACGTTACCGCTGCCGTCCTCGGGCGTCCTCTTCACGAGCGCTCGAGACGGCGAGATCAGTCCTGCCACAAAAGTACTCCGTTAGCAAAGTTGACTTTTGCGCCAGGACTAAGCCCGGTGCTAAGGAATGTCAATGAGGAGTTCGGGCGGTGCTAAGAGGCGGTGGTTCGCCGTGAAGCCCTCGCACAAAAGATGACGTTCTCTGTAATGAACACTGCGCTATGAATTTAGAAGCTTCGTAAGAACAGCACGTACAATAGAGGTAATACTAATATGCACTGTACACATTGACTAACTACACAGAAATCACGAGGATCGATATTGAAAAAGTTTAGGAAAATCTCTCAACCACAATGACACAGTAACACGTTTTAACAAAAATGGTAGAAGCATGCTCCAAGCAACACAACAACGTCAAAACTGCGAAACCCGACGGGAGAGGGGCCTTGGGCGTAACGTACAAATCAATATAAAAAACAATAGAACTAAAAGATAAAAGAAAGAAACAAAACAAGAACCGTCCTATCTCATCTATCGTTAATGATATCAGCGTTTCAAATCGGCTGTCTAAAGTGCTCTAACCTTTGGGAATGTTGAAACGGAAAGCTGTCGGCTGGTCGGCCTGGTTCTCTTTGCTAGATGAATTCTGCCGCGAGCCGCGCCAGCTCCGTCCGAGTAGTCACTAAAAAAACCGGCTGGGATCTTCCCCCGCCCTGGACTTGTGGTAAGTATAGATGTGCGTCATCAGCGAGTTTCGCGAACAGTAGACGCGCTCGCAAATCGTGCAGCGGTACTCCTCCTGCCTCTCGGCGTGTTTGTCCGCGATATGCCGTTTCAAAGACGCCTTTGAGCACAGCACCTTTGTGCATTGCATACAGGAGAATAATTTTTTACCTGCGAACAAACCGAAAACAAAAAATATGGGGTGCTCCCCGCTCGCGATAAACAAAACAAACTTATCGCCTACGTTGCGTTCAACTCAATCGAACATAAAGTGAACTTAAGTGATAACATATGAATAACATAAATGAAAAAAAGGAGACGAAATGATGGCGAAGCAGAGTGGCCGATGAGTTCAGGGCATGCGGTGGTGTCGGCAGAAGGAGAAGCGGTTTCACAAGCGGACGAAGCGGACGAGGCGGACTACATCACGCGCGGACTGACCGGCGAGCTACGGGTCTCGGGAGAGAGAATAAAACTAGCGGGAGTTTTCGTATATGTTTTATTAAAAACGCCATTATCATCAATATTAGGATTTATGAAGTTCGGTTTAACGATTACAATTACACTTTATGAGTAGTTAAAGGTTTAAATGTAAAATTAAGGAAGAGAAAAAAATCTATTTATACATATATAATAATATTTTGATATCGTTATGTCTACGTACGTACTGTGGTGTGCAGCCCATTACGAAAATGAGGCGTTTTCAATTCGACCGAAAGTTTCGCCAACGGTAGCCTCGCGAGGCCATTGGAAGACAAAATCAAAGAGAGTACAATTTTTGGCACAATTTCTACATTAAACATCTAATGGACTGCATTTCACTGATGCCAATCAACAAAATATCTAGATTTAAAGAATTAGAACAATAATTTAAGAAAGAAAATAAAATTTCAACTCAACAACCGATAAATTAATTTAGATCCCTTATAACATAAGTAAAAACGCCAACAAGAAGTATAAAGAACACATCGCTTAAGGTCACCGCGCGGACGCGACTCGAGAAATAAACCTTAACATGATAGAAAGATAAAAACTTAAACAGGTCACAGAAACAGTCTTAAACTTGCTAAAATTCCTAACTAATGTAGTTTTGACAGGGATGCGTTCTGCGCCGTAGAACACCGTAGTTCGCCCAGTAAAACACATACTTCGTTGCGGCCCTACCGCCCGCGACCGCCGACGGCCGGAGGCGGCGGTAGGACGGCAAGATCACCTGAGATCCAAAACATTGCAACTAGGATAAAAAAAATTAATAAAAAGATCATCGAATCACAATTTTGAATCGAGACGAGTGACGCTCCAGACTTTATATAAAATTTTAATAAATAATTGTACATTTCTAGAAATACGCCTAATAGTGTACGACGCGTACTTAGTCTAATCAGTCTATAGCGCTTATTAATTTTGGCAATTTTGATTTTCAAAATAATTTTTTTTAACGTCTAGTGCTCGCCGAAAGCCAAGTGACGATCGCGCACCGCACTGCGCACTTGCAGCACATCCCTGTAGTTTAAACATAGAACGTACTATTATCGCTATTAATTCAGATAAAATGTCCTTATAGCTACGGTCAACTAACTTAATCCCAAACCCAAATTAACAATAGAGCCTACCACTAAAATTACTAGACAAAAAAACAACAAGTCCTACGTTACTTCGAAAGTTTGCATTTTGCAAATGAAAACGAAACCGTTCTCCCTTAGCTCGGAAATCGGAATGTTGCGAAATTTTTTAAATTTTGCCTCCGCCGATCGTCGTCGGTCCTCTTAACAATTTTTCTCCTAATACCGTACCAATTTAGCACCAAATCTCTAGTCTTCCAATTAGTTTAAAAATATTACGATAAGCTTACGAACAACTAAACAAATCGTAGTGGCTACGCGTTTATGCATCTAGTAATAACAACATAATCTTATAACATATACTATTAAAATATTTAGGAAGCCTCTCGTATGTTAAATAGCAAGGATTACCTCCCAGGTAATGTGATGTGTTTCGAACACAACTCCTAACGTTACAAGTACGCAAAATATGTCTTTTTTCCAATAATAAAAAACAATATGTAAAGCAGGCACTAATAATTACTTAATATGTATATTAATACAATAAATTATGTGTTTACACTTACATATAGATTTCTTACGGCTATAAAAGAAATCGGTTTAAGCGACCTCTATTGACTCGAAACGGTGATGTATTAAACTAGAATATTCACATTACTTGTGGGTTAGGAGTCTAGATTCAGAAAGGGGAATCGAAATCGTAAAAAAACGCAATCAATCGTCTCCATTGAATTAAGTGTTAATTATTGATCGGCAAAAATAAGTGTGTGTAAGTATTTCGCAGAAACGAGCGGAAAACGTGGAAGCCTCGCTGAATCTAGACTCGTGTCGCCTAACTCCGTACAAAACAGAACCGCGTTATTAAAAGTATTGTATGGCAAGCTGGATCCGTATTTGAGTAGATTAATCAAAGGTTTCGCACTGTTCAAATTTAGGAACATTCAACACTGAGAATCACTAAGATTTCACAATTATCACCTAGTTTATGTATAATATCAATAATAAATTTGAAATTACTTTTAGTAATAACGAATAATAATTGTGTAAACTTAAAAGAAGCCGATCGTAAAATAGTAGAATCGACGAACGAACACAAGGTGATGGAAAGCTTACATCTAAATAAAATATAATAGCCATTGCGATTCGTCGGATGGCACTTTGCGATCCGGGTTATGCCTCGGGTGATCGCGCGTGAAGGCAGTCGACTAGAGTCATAGTAAAGGGTGAGTCGACTGTGAGTGGGAAGTAGTGTGTGTCTGTATTGTGTCTGTTGTCTGCCGTGTGTCTGTCTGACTATTGGTGAATGTGTGCTCGGTGGCCGGTGTATGTCTATTGGTGCTATATGTATCTCCTGAAAGTATCAGTCTTACAGTCAAAACGAAACACCTAAATAAAATTAAAAAGAAAAATTATAAAATTCAAAGCCTCATTAGCCAATTGCGTATCGGCGTATATAATTTTATTTATTTTTAAATAGAATTTTTAGTAATCTCGTATAAATATCTAAGCGTGAGATCATGAAGGTAAATACAGAATAAATAAAATTGCAAATCGCCGAAAATGAACACAACGTTAAAACAATATGCCTCTTTTGTTACTTACAACGAACACCTTTCAATTTTTTTATAAATTTAAGCCTAATATATAAATTTACAGCACCAAGGTTTTTCTCTTTTTTCAAAATATCAATTTTCTCTTCGCCTTATTGTCACACATTTAACATAGTGTAAAATTGAGGAATCATTCTGTGTCGCGGTATTGCACGTCGGGTCGCGAGTGGAATGTCGGATCGATCGCCGTCGGGGCGGCGCCCGCGCACGACTAGTCTACAAGTTAAAAGAGAGAGAGGAACAAAGAGAAAAGAAAGAAGGAGACAGAACGCTTAGACATTGAACTGATCTTTGAACTTGTAGAAGTCGACGCTGTGGTGGTGCTGGTTAGGGTGGATCTTGGAGTCGAGGGTGGAGAGGTTCTGCGGCTGCGGTTGCGGCGGCAGGTGCGGGGGCGCGGCGGAGGGTGCCCTCTGGCGGCGGTGGTAGATGCTCTTGTGATTGTTGAGCGAGTTGAGCGTGCGGAACACCTTGTGGCACAGCGAGCAGCGCGCCGAGTGCAGCGGCTGCAGGTGCTGCTGCTCCGTGTGCCGCTTGAGGGTGAGCCGCGTCGACAGCAGCTTGCCGCACACCTCGCAGCGGTGCCCCGCGCCCAGCGGACCCACTGCGCCACACATAACGACCAACATTAGCGCATTAGTCAACACATCTGTCGCACCGACACCACCGCTCGCAACAGGTCCCATTCCGAAGGAACCAATTGGCACTGATCGCGTGCCGCGAAACCGAGCCTACAACGCGATCGGAAAGTGAGCTTGACTAATGCGCTTCGGAAGTTGGTAGTTATGCGTGTACCGATCACAGGTGTCCCAATTGGTTCCAAGGCGGGGCCCCGGCGGACGTCACTTATCAACTATTAGGTGAAGGCGCATGCAAATACACGTAAAACTATGCTATGTACACGTTAGGAACATATCGCGTTACATAATTTCTTTAAACTTAACGAGGTCTACGGGCAAGAGTATGGCGTTCGAGGTGGTTAGGATGGCTCGGTCCCCTCCGAGGGCGACGGCGAGAACGGCGAGGGCTTCCGGCGTCAGTTGACCGGGAAGAAAGGGCCCTGGCCCGAGGGCGGCTGCTGCTTGCGGTGGTAGATCGACTTGTGGTTTCTCAAGCTATTCAGGCTGGAGTACACGCGTCGGCAAATGTTACAGACGGGCTCCCTGGAGGGCCGCATGTGAACGTTTTGTATATGCCGTTTGAGCCGCGTCAGGGACGAGAGACTCTTGTTACAGGGCTCGCATCGGTACTCTTCCTGGGGGGTGCGGGCGCCACCTGGTCACAACACAAGCAGTTAGCCCCATGGAAGCTTCCGAACGCACTTTTAATGCACTCACTATCGTAGCCTCTCGACTTAAAGCACCGCCACCCCCCGGGTTGATGATAGCCATCCGGCGAGCCGACGGCCAAGCGGTATTAGTACGCATAATTTTGTTTCTCTAATTCGAAATCGACCTACGGCTAGTTAAGCTGGCTCAGCTGTTTTCATAACAACGGCCGAGGCGGCTCGTCCTCGGGCGCGGTTTCCGATTTCTCGAACAAAAGCGTTAGTATTTCTTCAATGAAAGGTCTTTGAATATAAACCGATACCGCTGCCACTCCATTGTCTCATCTCGTGTGCCCGAGCGGCGATTCCCAAGACAATACGTTTGAGGGTAATTCGAGACTGTTTTTAGAAACACGAATGATTCATGGGAGCGTGAGATTCGGGCTGAATTTTGACTAGGCCGAGCGCGACAGCGCCGATCGAGTTCGCGAGGTTACTTCTCTTCTCTTTTCTTCTTCCACGCTCGCGTGCGTGTTTCGAATCGATAGCCAATCGAGTACGACGTTAAGCGCATAGTTTTATAGTTTCCGATTTGGAAAAGAAAAGAAAATCAAAACAAAATCGGGTCGAACCAAATTAAGGGGGATCGAAAGGGAGGTCGGAGGAGGGATGATCCTAATACTTTTCAAGACACATCTATAAAACAAGCTAGCAATCGTCTTTACAGTAAACATTAAACTAGAGTTACAATACATTAACATGCAGGCACGTTGCGCTTTGGTTCAATGATCAATTCAGAAGCCGAACAACAAAGCCGGCATTCCGGCAAATGGAAACTTTGTGCCTGCGAATGTCCATCGAACCAGAACACAAAAAGCTAACATTAATATTCAGTACACAGAGCACAAGATGAAGACATATACAGGTTAGGAGGAGATATACTAATACACATATATCATAGAGAATGTCTCGTGATAATTGCCTCATATATTTGTAAAATATAAAACCTATAATGATATATAAACCTAATAATGAGAGAGCAGAGAGGAAGCGGTGATGGTGGCATACGACAGACAGTGCATTAAAAATATCGTTTGTTCAATATATGTAGGTAATGCATAAAATAAACTTGTTGCTAGACAAGCCGACTCACCTTGGGAGGTGCCCGGTAAGCCGTCGGGGGGGAGAGGGCTCGGCAGACCTGCAAATTGTTCATAACCTCAGACCGTGTTCTATTCGGGTTTTATTTAATTGCCTTAGCATGTCCCTTCATAATAACCTAACAGGTTAACGACATGAATATTTGTATTATACAGCACACACAACAAATTGTTCGTCTTCAAACAGCCCGTTCAAGTTAACTAGGGACGTCGTACGTGCACTTTTTGTCGAGCCCTTTCCGCAAACATTTGCACTTTGTCACGGTGGAAACAGCATTAATAATTTAATACTATTTGTCTTTGGAAACGTCGGGCCGTAATTAAAATAAAAAAAAACAAGTTAACTGATATATTTTGCGTTTAAAACCGTTAAAATTGTATTATCTAAAAGATTGCAACATAGAAACACATGTATGAGTATTCAAAAATAGTTATTTAATATAGGTAGGCTCGTTTGTCTTTAGAAGTTTAAAATTCGTACATATATATAATACAACTGAAGTCTTTAGTTAACTCGAACGGGTAGTGATCATATAAATTTCCTACCAGTGAGTGATGAATCCGTCAGCATAGGGTAGTTGAAGCTGTGATGTTGTGATGTCGGGAATAGCTTGGTCTCGGCTGGCGATATGAATGGCGAGGGCGGCATTTGTGGTGGCGGAGTACGGTCATCGGCGTCAGCAGAACTGGCTCTTGACGGTGGGCCGCCTCCCTGAGGCGAGAGAACGGAGGCATTAAAGTTTGCTGCAGCACTAGCTTAATCTATGGCAATCGTTTGATCCTCTTTGATTGTATCATTATAAAAATACACAAATATACCTTGAATAAGTTGAAAAAGGCCTGCTCAGCAGTTAGGCGTAATCGTAATATGTATTTTCTCTTATAAGACCGTATTAATCAGATCCATACTCGACTTTATTTAGCTTCAGAAATTCGCAAAACTATTAACGTTAGAAGCAATCTAATTAAGTAACTTTTTAAATATAAGCTATCTTGGGGAATTTGAAACACTGATTACCGGTATATTTATAACCTACGTTAAAATGCGAAGAAGAAGATCATTTCATGTTAATTATATAAAATAGTTAAGATTAGAATTCGTGTGCGTAGTAGAGTTTAGGTTTAAATAAACCGATGTTGGAAAGTGGTATTATGATTTATTAGTCTAAATCGAGAATCTTCGCGGCTTAAAGACTGGCTTGTTGGTGTAATGAAAAAACTAAGATTGCTTTTCGCTTTTTACTTTCGCGAAAAGCTTTTTCGCTTCATTTCGGTATATGGATTTCCGAATATCCAGAGCCAAATAGGCCGACAGCGCATCTCTTTGATATGTAATATGCCTTAGTTGAAAGTGACCCGAATTGCACCGCCTAGTCCGAATTTCTCTGGCCCGCGGTCCCAGGGATTAACAAACCAATCAGCCTGCCCCCTAAACGTCTAAATAGCCAAACGACTTCCTGTCCTATTGACATCGGCTAGTACCCGGAAACAGTCCACTCGAATTCTTATACTCAGATTGCAATACAATGCTGTCTCGTGTTCCCATCGTTTAGAAACGTGAAGCGGCTGTTCAATTAGTTAGAAGAACGGGTTTTTCTAAGTTGCATAAGCGACAAGGACGATTTTTTGTGTAACGATTAGTAAGTAAATTAAAAATCTATTTAGTTTGAAAAAAAAAAAATTACGATACAGGCGGGACTTAAACTGGCGTCCATCGCGTTCCATATTAACTCTAATCAATTGAGTTACCGAGTCAAAAATACTGAAGTATTTCTTATTCTTGAGGCTTACTGCTGAATTTTATCAAAAAGAGCCATGCCAATAACCATTTTTAACACATTTCATTGGTACTGTTACAACTTTAGCACTGCTCTTCGTCATCTGAATTATAATTTAAACGTCATTAGAATAAATGATCCTTTTTCTTGGTCCGCGAGGGTAGTTTTAGAATCTACCCTCCAATTATAGATCAAAGCGGATCCCGAGTGCTTCTATAATAAGATCGTTCGTCATCGTCGATAATTCAATAAATAATTAATTTTATCCCAATCTACGAGAATAATAAGCTAACGAGCCTCGAGTGTTGTGTTAATAAGTTGTTTTTTTTAATTAGCGGCCACCGATTGTGCTCGTTTCCGACCAAAAACTTTTTGTAGTTAAAATTGAAGTTCTGCAGAGCGCTGTGAGCCAGCACTGATTTTGAAGTAGGCTTTTTTATTGGTGTAGCTATTTTCACCTTGCTTTTTTATTAACCGCTCAGTAGCTTATTTGCTATTTCAACGGACATCATTAATTCTGCAGCAATCCGTGCATACTCATCTTCGATTGATTCGTTATATCGATCTTTCTTTACGCGAAATACGTTCATCAATTTTCTTTCGTAAATTTTCACAAGGGAACTATATTTTTGTACCTATTTCACTTCGTTTGTACATGCGAAATGTCTACAAAAAAACACGAACAATAAGATCGCATACATCTTTTATATTTATAGCTATGGCTTGGGGCGAACACTTTTTTGTGTTTGTTTCACTAGACGATTTAATTTCATCGTTCGGCATCGTTTGCTTGAGATGAAGCGCGAGAAGTCCTGGGTTCGACCCAGTACTTCTCGCGCTTCATGAAATGTCAGGCGGCGCATTTATCGATTAACCTACTGGGGCGAAATATCTGTTCATATAATAAATCTTACCATCATTCTGTGATGAGAATGCGGTGGCGTGTCATCGGTGCTCCTGTCTATATCGGGGTTGGACTGGCAGATCATGTCCAGGGGCTCATTCTTCACGTCATCCATCAACTTCGGGGACGGGGACGAGCTGGAGTTGGAAATCCCGTTGCCGTTTCCCGGTTCGTGGCGACTGTTGTTCAGCAGGGAGTTGTTTTTGGTGGAGAAGTCATGGATTTGCGGTTGATCATTGTTGTTATCGTGGCGGGCGCGCTTGATAACGTCCGGCGAATTGTCCGCGGAGCGGGACATGCGGCGCGGCGGGAGGGGGATGCGGCGGCTGAGCGACGGAGGGAGAAGCAGGGCCTCCTCCAGCTTCTCGGAGTAGTTCGGGGTGTGGGGCGTGTGCGGTGTGTGCGGGGTGTGCGCGGGGTGAGGCGGAGTGTGTGGGGACGACGCCGCGGCGGCTGCGCGTGCGATGTTCTGGACAAATGGCTGTGGAAGAATCGCGATGTTTAGTTTAGAAGACTTTTTTATTATTGAAAAATCATTATATATCATTATTTTCTTCGTGTCTTTTATAATTAACTTCTAGAAACTAGGGTTTTCATAATAACGGCGAATGCGTTTTACAGTCTTTTATTGACACTTTTTACATGAATATAAAGAGTGAGATACGATAACCAAACTTAAAAATGACCATGAAAACTAACTTAAATAACAATGAGAGCAGACTGTGGCATCACCTTTGGCGAAGGTGAAACCGTATTTGCTTAGGTGTTTTATATCAATTACTAATTGTGTGTAACATATGTTTTGCATGATACGGAATTATTCCTTTCAACTATTTAGTCTAGACACTGTTTCTATTAATCGTTATCTTGTCTAGAGACTGGTAAAATTTGAATATTGATTGTATTACGTATTTATAGACGTACGTAGACGTTTGAAAAAGTCTACTTGAAATAATAATGCACTATCACTGATATTTAACTATTAGGTAATAACAGGTTTATATTACAATTTCAAGAAAGACATACACATTTAAACATAACGTGATCACGGCCGCAAAGCATCAGAAATGTCATCGTTAAAAATAAAGTTAACTAATATATTTCGTAATTTCAACCGTTAAATTGTATTTTACTAGTATATAATGCCGTTTTATTGACTTGTATGGTATTTTGTACTATAAGACAGTACGCATTTATCGAAAGCAGAGAGATATTTACCGCTTGAGCGTCATCGTTTTGCGTTAGACCGGAAACGCGAAGTACTTCTGCGGTCTTGAGGAAGGACGAGAGACTCCGCTGGTGCACGTTCACTTCGCCGTGGTAGATGAACTCGACCAGAGCGTGCAGGTCCGTGAAAGCCACGTCTTGGAGCACTATCACTGGGTGCTTGCAGGGCGTCGACTGTGGACACACATTGCGTTATAGCTTACGAGAAAATGCTTTCAGATCTGAACAGTAAAGTCGGTCTTAGTTCATCTAGACTCAGAATTAGTATTCGACGATATATTATAATTCATACATTCTAAATGACTGCAATTTTAAAACCTGGATTTCGATCGATTTTTTATAAAAAGCACATATTTCGTGATAAAAGAAGCCATAGTTAAACCACGTGAAAAGTGTAAAAACTTTCGTTAGAGATAATATTGATTACTCGACAGTAAGACGAAGTAAAGTATTGTAATGTGTTTATTTAACAGTTAAAAGCAAGTCAGGTTGGCCGAGTTGTCTAAGGCGCCAGATTTAAGCTCTGGTTCCCGAGAGGGAGCGTGGGTTCGAACCCCACACCTGACAACGGGATCACATATTTTTTTATTTGTAATTACAGTTTTATACTCTTGTTTTTTAAATAAAACACTTTAACGTTTAAAACCATATATTATTAACTTATTTGAAAATGATTTTATGGCCCGATTGGATGTTAGGTGGTGGGGGACTCCGTGACCACGGCTGTCCGAAACGTCGGGAAGTTAAAAATCATTTTCAAATAAGTTTAACTAATATATCGCGTTTTAAACCGTTAAAGTGTTTTATTTAAATGTGTACTACTCGCGTAAACTATAGACAGTATTTACTCTTGTTTTCTTTAATTGTTATTTACAAAATCAGAATATTAAACAAACTTCAGGAATGTTTTTACTGAGCTTATTGTACGTAAAAAGAAGAAGCAACCCTCTATGGGTTTCTTCAATCCTTTTAAAAGAATAAAAATCTCTTAACTCACTTTCAATAGCTCTCTGAAATAGGGGCTGCACGCCGATAACACCACCCGATGCGCCTTAAGGCTCTTCCCATCGCAAGCCAGGGTCACATCCACGAAGTCCTCGTCGTCCCGAAGGTTCTCGAAGGCGCTCGTGATGCTGCTCTGGTAGTTGTTCCAGCGTAAACAGAAGTGCTGTGTGTCCACCATTTTGTTTGTTTTAGCGAGTCATGTGTTCCAAATCTGCGGGAAGTTCAGTATATTAAATTTAATACGTTAATTTACATTTAAAAAAAATTAACGGTTTAAAACGGGAATTTATAAGGAAATTTATTTTTATTCATCCGTATCGAAAGTTTTGCTATATTCTTTTATTCTTTTACTTGTTGCACCCAATCGAACCCACCACCGCCACGCGTTGATTAGCCAATTTGGGGTCATTAAACCGACGAGAACGTTTATAATTATTTATATTTATTTATATATTATTTTATTTTACATAATACCAAGGAAAGCGAATTCAAAAAATGGTTAGCATATAAAAAAGGTTTTCGAGTGAACCGACTTTGACCCTAGCTCTTGTATAGTTGCCGATTCGAGTCCCATCTCCGTAATTTTACCGATATTTGTTCAGCATTTCAAAGCACTATCGGACAATTCTAGAATAGTGCATATTCTATTTCGTCCCACAAAAGATGTAACACGATATATCTTTGTTATCAGAACGAGTGCAGGCTATTGTCTACTAATTGTTTAAAAATACGAAATCCATCTTTACTTCATTTGCGCCTTTTTGTCACAGGCCTTAGAGTGCACTTTGCAAAACTTCTAGCATCGTTGAAACGTAACTGTTGTGGCATTTTGATTAGGATATGTTCCTAAAAAGTAGTTTCTGATCAGTATTGCAGAAATGAGAAAATTCCTGCACATTTCTCATTTTACGAATTACAAGTATAAGTGTCTGAATATCCAAAGCGTTAATAGGTCGATAGCGCACCTCGTTGATCAACAATTTAACATCTTAACAAGATGTTCTATCGCCTTGCGATGGCGTTGGATATTAGGTGCAATTAATTTATTTTCATAAGATTACTATTCTTAAAATGACACTAAAAAAGTCTTAAAGTTACATGAATATAGCAAGTGATTTAATCAATAATTACATAATATACTTATTTCTATATGACTGAACTAAACTGTTCACATTATATCTTTGTTATTCGTATACAAACTAAAATGACGCACTAATATTCGGATTAGCTACATAAACAATTTACTGACACTATCCGCAGTAACTACATATCTCTGTATTTCTAATTCCGATCTATCAATATATAGCCAATCTATCGGTAAAGGAAGAAATAGAAGTATTTACTACAGTAATTGTAATAGTTTCTGCCTTTATTATTTAAGTATCGATGTATATCTCTTTTCCTCGAATAAAAAATGAAATGTAATGAAGAGCCTTGCTACGTTCGTAATTATAAGACGTCACGTTTTCAAATAAAACATAGGACAATGGAAACGTGCGCTGATCGTATTTTCTGCCTAAACACGTTGTTTGGAAACTTTCTTTTGTTCTTTATTTAAATACTTGACATTTGTACTTTAATTTTATACGGCTTCATTTAAGGTTGTCTGGGGTTCGAGCCCCGTTTGTTTCCTATTTATAGAATATACAATCACTCGTCGATCGATCTTATGGTTTAGACTTTTGACGTGTTCATTAATCGTTTATATCCTAGATATGGCTACAGTGTACACATTTGTTAAACTAGTCTTGCGCTTATTGTAATATTCTATTATTATTGTATCTTTATCTCAATAATACGCATCGCAAAGTCTTTAATATAAAAAACAACATAAAAACGGGTCATATTTGATAATAGCGAGTGATAATATTGTTTATGACAAGTTGAATTATGCATTGCCCTATTTTTTTTGCAATTATTGCGACAATTAGCGGTGATAGATGTCGACGTGTCTATTAAGAGACGCGACATTTGAACTAGCCTCTGCTTCCTTTATGCTGAATGTAAGATACCGATAGGTATAGAATTGGACCTTAAGAATTTCTATGTATTTGTAATTGATCGAAAATACACTAGAACAAATACAATATAGATGTAATACAAGGTAAAACAATTAGTTAACCTGCTTAAAATACAGAATACTGTGTAGTTCCTAATCTAGTACTTATAAAGACAACGTAAACATATAGAAAGTTCAAAAGAACCTAAACTAGCTAAATAATTCAGGGCGATGTAAATTAAAATTTTGTTGTTAATAAAGTCAGTAACACTTTGCAGTTGTGTCGAAAACACTTTAGAACTAGAAAAATATTTAGCTATTTACGGGAAAATGTATTGCTAAAAAGCAGAAATTATTTTAGGTTTTAGCGCTATCGTCATTTCACAGTGCGAAAATTGTTTAGTTCGAACAGACTAAGCGCGTGTCGAGCGCTTTTAAAAATAATAGACCAAAATCATCAGAGTTTAATAAAATGTAGCGAATATGAAAATTTGGCAAAACAGACGCGAATTTTTATACCGAATTAGAATGACCTTTTCATTTTCGGTTAAAATGTTTAGCACTTACAAATTGCGCGTTGAATGTGAAATAAAAATATATTTCACAGACTTTCTGTCAAATTGTACATAAAGGGCGCCACGCCACAGTGCAAACGTGCCATTGAATCAAATGAAAAGACGTCTAAAGAGATCTAGGCTTTGTGACGTAGGACAGGGCCCGAGCGGAGAGCGTTTAGGGAAATATCGAAAGTTGCCAAGTTAAAATCTTTGATTTATTAATAATGATCCTTTAAAGCATTTCATAAACGTCTTAATGTAGACAAATTAGCACAATCTAGATTCTCCAGAGCCTATCTCATAAAAGGACCTTTTAGACTACGACTATTTTTTACCTAATCTTTTCGTCGTGCAATTGGATTCAAATTCTAAAAAATAAAGAAATATTTACAAATAAACGCGGATGTAATCATATTTTATTGTTTCTAACATGTAGTCTTTGCTGTCTAGCTGGTCTTTACGTGCCAACCTATCGGGCACCTTTATGACCCTAATCTTATGTAGTAGTACTTCATTTTGTCTGTTAAAATATTATTATTTTCTTTGTACATTTCTAATGCTTGCTAATATTGAGCATATACATTAGTAGAAAATGTATATATTAATAATATAATAAAACAATAAATAAATATGTATTCGATTTCACCCTTCATTAAAATGCCATCCCCTATTCTCTTATATCGCTTCTGCTTATAAAATACGCCACACTTCTAACCGTATTCTAGACCGTTTTGCTCTATTTAACCAAACACCATCCATCTTTTGCTCAAAAGCTTTTATTTAACGCCTTTATAATTGTTACTTATATAAAAGGTGTCGTTTTTGCCTGCGTTATTTTTATATTAAATCGGATTTCTTTAAGGATTAATTTCCTTTAGATTAACGTTGAAGTCGAGTGTGTTCTTAGAGGGGTGAAATATATTTACACCAATAACAGTTGTTACCACAGTAAAGCTATAACGTGTTATCCAAATTACCTATCTTGGTTAGACCTTATACATTGTAAAAAAAAAGCTGTGATCTTATATGTTTCGCGTTTCAAACCGTTGTTACTGTTTTATTGAAATTAGAGGTCTTCAAACATATAATAAATGATAAATATATAAAAATGTAAATTAGAGTTTTATGATGATTTGACCTCGTAGACACCAGTTCGATACAATACATAATCTACGCACGATAAAAATGGTATAAATAAATGTTCTCATTATCTTTGTGCATTTTATGTTATTGCAAACAGATAAGAGTTCTTAGAGATCCGTAATAACTTAGCGAGGAGAAGCAGTGCTTAGCTCGCCCCGGCTTTGTTTTCTCGTAAGCTACATTAAAATGTTACCAGCTTTTGACTTGATACCGTTTAAATTTGAGTTGTACTATATCACATTTAAGTTTCAAAAAACTTTTTACCGGTTAGTTAATCAATGTACATATTTTCTATTTTTATTTTATCCATATTTATGTTTAACATTAATTTAAGAAACATATGTGTCAGAAATTGTAGAGATTAAATACATTGCTATACCTTTACTGGGAACATTTAGCAAAGAACTTCCCTCCGAAAATACAACTCGCACTTGATCGAAAGTTTATCAACAGATATGAATTTAGAAATTATGATTAAAGGCATTAGTTTCGCTATCATAACAGATGACATGGCTAACTTTGTTGATAAAACAACGAATTGGACGCGCGAAGTGTCAAAATGCATTGATAAGACATTTATCATTGGACAACAAAGGCCTATGTGGACGAAAATTTACATAACGACACCATTTCATTATAAGTGAATAGAGTTTTTCAGGCTCAACCGATTTTGATGAGATTTTGGGACATGGACATGGATGGGGTTGATGGATGGAGATCAAATATCCCAGCTATATAACATCTATACAACATGTGCTGTCGGCCTATTTTGTCTTTGGATATTGGTCTTTTTAAGCTCCTTGGTCTTTCGTTTGATCTAAATTCAAGCTAACTTTTAGATGCTAAAATAATCTCTAATCTCTCTGACAACAGTGGTTAATAAGCAATAGAAAAACGGGCAGTAACAAAACTACTAATATATCTGCCCTAATAATGTTTATACTTGCCTTCTGTAGTTAAGTAAAAACAGTAATAAAAGAATATAAGTAGAATAAGATTTTTCGCCTCACCGAGTAGTACTAGAAGAACAATGACATGCGCGGCTGGCTCGCTATCTGCGCGAATAAAGAAATATTTTTCGTTGAAATATAACTAACGCTAGAGTTTGAAAACCTAAACTATACGCGATAAGATAGCAGGTAGCCTAGGTCTCTGATAAAACGCTAAATTCACAAAAAAAACGCGATAACACGTGGCTATCGTACCCAGCGACTCTAATGCAACACGATGTTATACATTTTATTCACCGACTCTGGAAAAGGAGGATGCGAACAATTTTAGCAGTTTGAAACGCCAAATGTATTAGTTAACATACAATATATTTTAACTACGGCCGACGTGGTCCCCGGGGGGCTAAAGATAAAGGGTGTTTGTGTGTGCAATGGTGTATCCGAAAATTCGTTATTCAAAGATTGATAAGGTTTAAAAATACGTTTATATATATATATATAAGAGTCGCTTTTTATAAAGTACCGTATA